TTTATTTGTAAAGCGCTTTCAAACAAAGTGCTGGACAGGAGATAAAATCATGGATGGCAAGAGGTGAAGTCACAAAATAAAAAATAGAATCACAAAAAAAAACAAAAAACAAAAAAACAGAAGACAAGAGATAACATCACAGGAGAGGCCAAAGCAATAAAAAAGATAAAATTAAGACAGATAGTTTGAACAGGTGCGTCTTTAACTCAGCTTTAAAAACCTCAACAGAACGAGGCTGCCTGATGTCCTGAGGGAGATTGTTCCACAGAAAGGGGGCATGAAAAGAGAAGGCACGTTCACCAATGGTCTTTCTTCTGGCTTTTGAGATTATTAATAGGCCAGTACCTTCAGATCTGAGAGAGCGTGGWGGAACATAGGGATGRAAGAGGTTGGTAAGATATGGAGGCACCAGACCYTTTAAAGCCTTAGGTGAGCCACAACACCTTCAAATCAGCCCGAATCTGACAAGGCAACCAGTGAAGGGATAACAGTACAGGACTGATGTGGTCAAATTTCTTGGAATGAGTTAAAATACGGGCGGCTGCATTCTGGACCATTTGCAGACATCTAAAACTTTTCTTGGGTAGTCTGGAGAGGAGAGAATTGCAATAGTCGATGCGTGAGGTCACAAAAGCGTGAACAGGAACCTCAGCATCATCAGAAGAAAGAATGTGCCTGATTTTGGCGATGTTCCTGAGGTGGTAGAAGGCAATCCTAGTTACTTCCTTTAATTGGAAGTCAAAAGAAAGCTCGGGATCAAACCACACGCCTAGGTTTCTAACTTTATCTTGACATCTAATAATCTGATTATCAAATTGCAGGATGATAGCTTGAGACAAGCCATGGAACTTCTTTGGTCCAGTGACAATTAAATCAGTTTTATCAATGTTAAGAAGCAGAAAATTATTTGACAACCAACCCGTAATTGCTGACAGACAGGCCTCCAATTTAGGCAAATTGACACAATTTCCCACTGTGAAGGGCATGTACAGCTGTAAAATGTCAGCATTGCAATGGAAAGTGACATTAAATGAATGTGGAAGAAAACCGAGAGGCAAAAGATAGTGAACACAGTAGGGGGTCCAGCACGGATCCCTGAGGGACCCCATGCTTCACAGTGCAGGTCTCAGAGAGCTTGTTTTTGAAAGGCACAGTCAGAGATCCATGAAAGTYCATTACCAGTAATTCCAATAACATGTTGAAGTCTATCCAGTGAGATACAATGATCAACACTGTCACTTAGATCTAATAGCAGTAGAACTGAAGGATGGTCATTGTCTGCATTTACCAGTAAGTCATTCACCACTTTAGTTAAAGCGGTTTCTGTAGAGTGGTTAGATCTAAAAGCAGACTAAAATGACTCGAACAAGTTATTAGCAGACAGATAGCTGATGAGTTGCTGTGAGACAATTTTTTCGAAAATCTCGGATAAAAATGAGAGAATGAGAAAATCTCTGACTTGATTCAAACACAGCCATGATGTGACAAGAACTGACCAAAACCCTGTATGTTATTTTCATTGGTTATGCTTATGTGGCGACACTAGATGGAAACTCCGGTTTTGTGAAAGTTTAATTTTAGTAAGTTGCTCAACAACGCCACCCTGGGAATTTCACCCAGAGATTACTACCTCTTGTTCAAGGCACACAGGTTCAATTATGCGAGGATTAAAACATCTGAGACAGTTTCCAACTTATAAAAAAACATTTATTGATTTATTCTAAAAATTATCTTAAAACCAATTTCTTTTTAAAAATGAAACTAAAAAGAAATCAACAAAAACAGAAAAAAAATAGAAAAGCTTGCAGCAGCTGAGGTTACCGGCCAGAGAGGACGCTATGGGGACGACCTCCACCAAACACAGTAAATCAAAATAAACCCTTTAACACCAGACGCAGTGAAACACCCCAAACTCAAGAATCACAGCACACAGACGAGGAAGACACCACCACCGGACCTCAGTGACTG